CCTTACGTCGACGTCGCCGACAACAGCGTCGACAACGCGTCGGGCAACGTCGAGCACAGAGACAACAGGGGTACGGCAGTATCCGGGATGTTCCCACGGCCCCTTGCCCGTTGCTCTCATCGGGATTCGAACTCACGGCGTGCCCTCAGCCAAACGCAAGTGCGAAGTGCAAATGCAAAATAGACCTGACACTCCTGGTCAACCGTACGGAAAGTCACCTATCGGGTCATATGGCATGCTTCGCTTTGTAAAACTGAGCGTCCGAGGGTTTTTCATATTATAAAAGCAGACCGCGTGACCGATTGTCACGACCATGACGCAATCGTGACAGATTTACTTCCTGACCCACTGATGGTCGCCGTGAAAGGACATAGTGTCCTTTTTCCTGCCGTCCGGAAAAAGGACACCTGCTTTGCCCGCCGTGTTATGAGAGAACACTGGGGGCCATTCCGGATACTCGACGTCTGCGTTCACAATAAAGCTGAGCGCGACAAGGGACGGACAGTGCCTTGCAAAGTGCTCAAGCGCAAAAATAGTCGGAACATGTTCACCGTGGATGTCCTCTTGAGGCTGGGGAGGCGCAACGCCCGGTTCCGGTGCGAGTTGATTTGTCAGCAGATTGTGGCTGAAAGGTGGTCGCAAGTATCCCCTCGTATTCTTGTGCATTCCTCTGCTCCATTCTCACCTTATGCATGCATCAGCAATGTATATCACTATTGTAAACCAGCAAGAAGGGTATTCTACCATTACAGACTGTAGTAGATATAAACATGTCTGTCTCTTCTTATTCCTGAGCTGACCACCATCGGGATGAAATGATGGTCAATTTCACCGAGGCCGGCAAAGGAGTGCTTAGGGAAGTTATGTATTGTCTTTAGATACATTTGGAACATATCTATGTGCACACCAGTGGGTGCATTCCCTATCCTTGATACAGATGAGCTTGATTTCCAGGAAGCACAAATCTGTGTAATTAATGGACAAAGCAAGTACTGGATCACAGCTGTAAAAGGCTGAATATATATCTCATGTACTATGTTGATTTTACAGTTCTAACATAGGGGAAGGGACCTGCTTCTGCTGCGGCAGGAGAGCCCGGACAGTGACCAGGATATTTGGTGTGACACTTTTTGCGATGGTGTCACAGCTTGTCACGTCCGCGACGCGTCGTTAATTGCTCTTTACTGCCAGAAAACCTACAGCGTGCTACGTT